GAATTTTGGTAGACTTTTTTTTTTTTTTCCCCAGTACTAGAGATTTAACCTAGGTTTCCACATGCCAGACAAACACTGAACCACTGAGCTACATCCTAGTTAGTCCTCCATTGGATAGGTTTTTGTTGTTTTGGTTTTTGTTTGTATGTTTTGAGACAAGGTCTCTTTTTGTAGCCCTGGCTGGCGTGGAACTTGGAGATCCCCGTGCCTCTGCCTCCCCCTGCGATGCAGGGCACCATGCCCAGGAAGTTTAGTGGATTTAAAGGTAGAATTGACAAAACTTGGTAACTATTTGGATCTATCCTTAAGGAGTTAAAAAAGGAGAAATGATTATTTTCAGATGTCCTGTTGGTGTATTTTGTGGAAGAGGCGTATTTGAGAAGCAGCTTGTGCTTGAGGAGAGTACTGGGGCACCACGGGGCTGACTTTCATTTCACCCAGGCTGGGCGTGGTAGTGCTGACAGCACTTGGGAAGGCAGAGGCAGGCAGGCCTGTGAATTCAAGGCCAGCTTAGTCTACAAGTTCTAAGGTTACGTAGTGAGACCCAGTCTAGGAAAAAAAAAAAGTAATCTGCAGTGACCAGGAGGCTGTTCTCTCTATAAAAGAGATGTGGACAGGTTTGGTACTAACACTTAGGTGCCAGGTGGAGAAAGAGTGGAATATTGTCCTGGAAAAGGACACACAAGTGAAAAGAATGCAGGGTTCAGCAAAATACCTCTTAAGATGTCAATATTTACCTGAGTGTGATGGCACACACCTTTAATCCCAAAACTAAGAAGGCAGAGATAGGTGGATCTCTGCAAACAAGGCCAGCCTGGACTACATATCTAGTTCCAGGCCAGCTGGGGCCACAGGGAACCCTGCCTGTCTTTGGGGAGAGAAAAAAAAAAGATACTAATATTTAGGGGCTGGGGAGGCAAATCAGTCAGTAAAATGTTTACCATGAAAGTATCAGGATCCATGTTTGATTCCCAAAGCTCTTGTGAAAAAGCCGAGCGTGGGGACTGAAGGGATGGCTCAGGAGTTAAAAACACTTTCTGTGCCATCATGAGGACCAGTGTTTGGATCCCAGCACTCATGTAATCGGCCTGGCATCCTTCACATGCCTATAACCCCAATTCCTTATGGGACAGAGATGATAGGATCAGTGGCTTCCAACCTAGCCAAGGAAAATGTGAGCTCCAGGTTCAAGAAGAGACCCTGCTTCAAAGGAAAAGGCAAAGAGTGACAGAGGGGGACAGTGACACCCTCTTCTGCTCTCCACATGCTCACACAGGCACATCACCCACACATAGGTGCATGCACACATAAGTAAATATTTAAAAGATAGCTCATAAGTATCAAAAGTGTATGTAACTAAGGTGTGTGTATGTTAAGTATCTACATACAGGGATTCTTATAACAAATGCATCTAGATTAGGTTAAACAACAAAAAGAAACTGATTTGTGAAGTGCTGCTGGGCTTCCTGAGGGTTGGAGCTGGGCTGTGGAACTCTACTCTGCCTTCATTCCTGCGCTTTCCTCTCCCCATGCTTTTTCATGTGTGTCTACTGCACCATGGTGGTGCTTTTTTTATGAGGCAGAGTCTTACTATGTTATCCCTGGCTGGCCTAGAACTCGATATGTAGACCAGGCTGGCCTCGAACCACAGAGATCCTCCTGCCTCCAAAGGCATGCACCATCATGCCCTGCCTTAAACTTTTTTTTTTTTTTTGGTTCTACTTTATTTACACGTTCAATCACACATCAGAGACAGCCTTTCTGACTTTCATTTTCAGTTTCTATTAGAAGAATCAGGTGGATCGGCTTGGTCAGAGGAGTGGTGTAAGCAGGTCTCTAGACTTGTGGCTCTACACAGCAAAATTCTCAGAAGAGAAGGATGTAGATGAGACAATACCATAAAAGGACCGTGGCAGAGACAGAAACCAGAAGTGAAAGTAAGAACCAAGATGTGTTCCTGGAGTAGCACTTAGCACTGTTGAAGTCTGCCGGAGGACTGGTGGTGCAAGTACTGAACTCATGGAAGACCTGGAAAGCAAGAGAAGGGGTGTGCCGACATGTGTATTTCCATAGGATTGGGAAATGAGGACCATATTGTAATTAAGTTTCTTATTTTGTATCGAATATAGTTAGGACCACGTTATATGGCACGTTTCCTGCTTTTGTTTAATATTGTATTTGATGTTTACCTTTTATGTGTCAATTTGGCTAAGCTGCCATACCCAGATTTTTTTTTTTTTTTTGGTCACAAAACCAATTATTTAATTGAAGCTACAAAAAAGAGGCAGTATAATTCATACCTGGATTTTTTATTTGACTAGCGTTTCAGATGCTTCTGTAGAGGCTGGAGAGATGGTTCAGCAGTTAAGAGCACTTGCTGTTCTTCCAGAGGACCTGGGTTCGGTTCCCAGCACCCACATGGTGGCAAACTGTTTAACTGCAGTTTCAGGGGATCTGATGTCCTTTTCTGGTGCACTTTATACATGCAAGCACAGCACTCATAGACATAAAATAAATTATTTTTGTTGCTTCTGTAAAGGTACTTCCTAGATAAAATTAACACTTTGATTTAAAGTAGACTTTCACTAAAGCACATTACTTTCTATAATGTGGCTGGGCCTATTTTAATTTTTATTTTAAATGTATGAGTCTATTGTCTTGCATGTGTGTAGTAAGTGCACCTTTGTCTCACAATGCCCAAGGAAGTCAGAAGAGGGTGCCAGATCCCCTGGAACTGGAGTTATGGATGGTTGTTAGCCACCATTGGGTGCTGGGAATCACACCTACGTACTTTGTAAGACCAGCCTTCATTTGAGCCGCACCTCAGCCCTTCCTTGGATCTTGGGCCTACTGACTGTCCATCATGAGTTTTATACTTGTTAACTTCCACAATAGCAGTTCTATAGTCTCTGTGTGAGCTTGTGTCTTTGGAGTGAGTTGAGAAGTCTTCATCTGCCACATGGACCAGAGAGCAGAGAAGCCTGTCTAAAGAAAGAAGATGAAGCTGGGCGTGGTGACACACGCCTTTAATCCCAGCACTCGGGAGGCAGAGGCAGGTGGATCTTCAAGGCCAGCCTGGTCTGCATAGTGAGTTCCAGGACAGCTGGGGCTACAGGGAGACCCTGTCTCAAAAAGACCAAAAAAAAAAAAAAAAAAGATGAAGTGAATGTGTGGAGGGACGAGGTCCCAGGCTGTCCACTGCACAGCTCGATTCTTTCCAAGCTTTTTTCTTTTCCGCCTTAAGACTCTCTCAGATAGTCTGTCCTTATAAAGTGTATCTCCTTGTTCTAGTCTAAGAAATAGTTGATTTTTTTGTGTGTGGTTCACATTTTAGACTGCCTATAAATGCATGCTGTATTTTCAAGAGATAGGTCTATGTAAATGACAGTGAGTTCCCATGTGTAGACATGGACAGAGCTACTTAGTAGGTAACAATTTACTCCACATTATATGATGTAAATAATTTTAGGACAGTTTTGACATATGACTCCTTACCCACATTTCAGTGTCCTTAGCAAGACTCCTAGCAGACATGCTGAGTCATTGTATATGAACATTTAGCTCTCACTCATATACTGACAAAACACTTTCCATACAGACTGTACAGCTCTTGTTCCAGTAGCAGAACAAGAGCTATCGACCTTTAGGGTGACACCGTTGCTACCTGCTGTTTGCATATACCATATGCTTGCCGGAAATCAAAATTGATTTATTTTCTAGTGTCTGTCTTTGGCCCATATTTTAATTACTCTGAAAAACTTGAATTCTACTAAAAGGGTTAGAGTACAGCTCAGTAGTGGAGTGCCTGCCTGGCATGCAGCCATAGATTCAATCCCGGAACCTCCAAAAATCTTTTTTGAAGACTATTTTATAAAGAGGCTGAGGCAGGAGGATATGTGTGAACTGTGTAGTTCAAGGTCAACCTGAGCTATATAACAAGATCTTGTTTCCAAAACACCTATACAATAAAACCATCTAGAAAAGGTTGGAGATATATAGCTTGACGGTAGAAAGCTTGCCTAGCAAGAGCAAGGCCTGGGTTCCACTCATGACACCACAAGGAAAGAAAAGGGTTTAGGCTATCATGTGCTCATTGGGGTTTGCTACATTTTTATGTGCTTGAAAATAACGTGAAGCACTTAGAAATTTGTACTTTTGTTCTTTTTTTCTGCTCCTCTAACCACTCTTTCATCTTCAGGTTCGTGTAGAAATCTGAAGTCATCAGGAACACACTGCCCAAATGTGCTCTTTACTAATGGACTGCTGCGCCCACTCATCCTTTCCTCCTTCCCTCAGGACACAGAACCACCTCTTCCACCGATACCAGAATGGCCTATACACCTGCTTAGGCCTTTTCCCTTTCTATGGTTTCTGCTCGCTCTGTAGGCCTGGCTGGCCTCAAAGTCATAGTGATCCTCCTGCCTCTGCCTCCTGGGTGCTGAGATTATAGGCGTGTGCCACCATGCTTGATCCTACCAGAATCTTTCTCAGTAGGACAGCAATACGAGATTTAGTGAAGGCACAGGAGTAGAAATCGGATTACATCTGTTTCTTTCCAACAGGGAGGAAAAGGGCTGCTGCAGATTGCAAATGGCAGTCCCTCCTGAAAGGAAGAGAGTGGTAATGCCAGCCTGCTCTCCTGGAAGTCAGAGTGCTTCTGCAGGCCAGATTTGGGTGCTGTTCCAGAGCCACTTTTACGTTAGAGCCTTAGTGAGTGTCTTCCACCTGTCCTGTGGCATGGCAGTGCTTGAATCTGTACAGTTGAAGGCAGCATGAACAACTTTCCTCAAAGCAGGACGGAGCAGCATCAGTGGTCATTGACGAATTCATCCTTGCAAAAGCATTTCTTTAATGTCTACTCTGCGCCATGCTTAGAGTTGCTGAGAAGACAATGCACATAGTTCTTGATATCCTAGGGTTTTAGAGTGCAGTGATTGGTTTTTTCTTTGCTTGTTTATATCTAATTTAGTTTCATTAATTTTGTTTTTTCCCTCCTTTAGTATCCTCTTCTGTATGGACTGATTCTCATTCCCTGCTGGAGTGCTCTAGTTTGTCTAAGTAGAGTCTACATGGGAATGCATTCCATCCTGGTAAGGAAAACAGGATGTCCTTAATGCTTTTTTTATTTTATATTTCTGACGTTGGCAGAAAACTATAAATTTATTCATTTGCTAGTTAACATGAAACCTAAATGAGAAAATACAGTTGCTGTAAGAATTCTTCATTTTGCAGCATAATGACTTAATGCAATGGCCATGTATTTCATTCATATCAGTGTAATGATTTGTGAACTGTTAGTGCATTGACCATTCTAGCTCTGGTTTGATGTTTTCAAAAATGGTAGTACTGAGGCTGGAGAAATGGCTCAGTGGTTAAGAGCACTGGCTGTTCTTGCAGAAGACCTGGGTTCGAATCCCAGCACCCACATGGCAGCTAACAGCCGTCCATAACTCCAGTTCCTGGGGATCCAGTGCCCTCTTCTGTCCTGTGCAGACATAACACTCATACACATAAAATAAAAATAAATTTTTAAAAATTAAAAAGAAATAGCACAGGGACCCTGTTTCATCTGGATCCACACCTACCCACTTCCTATCCTCTCCTTTCCTCTGGCTTAGTCTGGCCTGTGTCATTTATTGGCCAGATTACCTCATTAACTGTTAGCCATGCACTTCAGCATCAGCCTACCACTTAGCAGACTTGTCCAAGCCCAAGCCTGATACCATAATGGATTATACCTCCATCACCTCAGGAATGATGGAACCTTTGACTGAGTGCCTTTCCCTCTCCAGCCTAGTTAACTATCCCATTCTTGTGCTTGACTTACTGCAGATGTTCCCAAAGCCTCTTTATTAGTGGTTAGGCCTGTGTCCTCCGGTTTACCCTAAACTGGAATTGCTTTTCGATTTTGTGACACCCCACACTGAATTGTAAGGTCTTCAGAACAGAGATATAGACTTTCTCTACTCTCAGTGTCTTATAAAAAATCCTAGGAATTTATTATATATTATCTTATGAATGAAGGATCAGAAAAAAAAAGATAAAATATGAACTAATTCTTGGAAATTATAAATTTTCCAATAGCTTATATCAATTTTTATTATTTTTAACATTTTTAGTAATGGTCTATGTATAGAAGCATCTCATTAGTTTGTTTCATAGCTGTAGAAATATTTGTCTATATGTTTTACTTAATATCTTTTACCTTGAGCAAGTGCCTCTCACTATAAGCAGTAAATTTAGCAGTATTTTAATAAACAAATTATTTGTTTGACCTTTATGTTCAGGTACAAATTGAATTTATACACAGTTCTACTCTTCTCATTATACCAGTTTTATAGTCAGACTACACGTTTTTATGTGATACCTAACTTTATTACAAAACATGTTACCTGGCCTCTGTGCCTGTTGTTCCTTTCCACTTCCACATTTACTAGCATCATTTCTAAGAAGCTGCCGATGAGTTAGACTATTTTTTTAATCCTTTTTCTTTTCTTTTTTTTTTACTGGGGGTTAAACCCAGGGTCCTGGACGCCCCAGGCAAGTGCTCTGTCAACTAAGCACACCCCAGCCCATTTATGAGTGATGAAGTAAATCCCTAATATTTCTTAGAGGAAAATAATAACTTTTTAAAAAGATTTTATTTTTTATATTTTACTTATTACTTTTATTTTATGTGTATGCATGCTTGCATGTAGGTAAATGCACCTGTGCCATGCAATGCCCATGGAGGACAGAAGAGGCCGTCGGATCCCCTGGAACTAGAGTTATGGACAGTTGTTAGCTGCCATGTGGATGCTGGGATTCGAACCCCGGTCTTCTACAAGAACAGTCAGTGTTCTTAACTGCTGAGCCATCTCTCCAGCCCTTATTATTATTTTTATTTTATATGTATGAGTACATTGCCTGCATGTAGGTAGGTGTACCCTTGTCATGCAGTGCCCTCAGAGGTCAGAAGAGGGCATTGGATCCCCTGGAAATAGAGTTACAGACAGTTGTTAGCTGCCATGTTGGTGCTGGGAATCGAACCTGGGTACTCTGCAAGAATAGTCAGTGTTCTTAACAGCTGAGCCATCTCTCCAGCCCCTTAAAAAGATTTTTTTATGTCTGAATATTTTGCCTACATATATGTAGTGCATTGTGAGTGCAGTGCCCCCAGAGGCCACAAGAGGGCATCAGAGCCCCTGAAACTGGAGTTTTGCATGATTGTTAGCTGCCATGTTGGTGCTGGGAACTGAACTTGGGTCCTCTTCAAGAGCAACTAGTGCACTTAACCACTGAGCCATCTCTCCAGCTCTAAACACAGAAAAGTAAAGATTACTACTTTTTTTTTTTTCAGTTATTGCCAAATATACCTTCAAAATTTCTTGAAACACAAGTGTGGGCTTTGTTTGTGTTTTTTTGTTTTTGTTTTTGGTCTTTAAAAAAGTTTTTTTGTTTTGTTTTGTTTTTTGTCTTTTTGAGACAGGGTCCCCCTGTAGCCCCAGCTGTCCTGGAACTCACTATGTAGACCAGGCTGGCCTTGAACTCACAAAGATCCGCCTGCCTCTGCCTCCCAAGTGCTGGGATTACAGGCGTGTGCCACCACACCTGGCTAAATGTTATTTTTATTTTATGCGTATGAGTGTTTTGCCTGTATGTATGTGAGTGCGTGCGTGTCGTGCAGCGCCGCAGAGGTCAGAAGAAAGCTTCGGATTCCCCTGGAACTGGAGTTAAGGACGGTTCATAGCCGCCATGTGAGTGCTGGGAATCGAACCCAGGTC